TGCTATTTTAAGAGGTCCATACGTCCAACGACGGTTGCGACGATCTGTCGGTAACCAGACAGGATTTGTTTTGGTCTTGCGTAATCGTTACACCACTTGAGCACTCATACAATCGGGAATCGCGCCAAATCATCTCCGAAGAGATGCATTGACAAGCGAAAGGCTATTAATCGAACACAATCTGTTAGCACGCAGCTGTACACTTATCTGCTGAACCTAGCCACCTATCCATGGGGTCTTAAAAGAGGATTCCATGATAAGGGAAGGGCGCCTGACAAAATTCCCCGTTGATTTTCTAACGTTATTTATTAACCGAATTCGCCATATGCCTTGAGTCAGCACCGGAATTCGTGTAACTACAGGGTACACCGTTGGGCCGAAAAATCAAGGCATTTGAGACCGAGAAAAGCGTTGAATTTATCAAAGATGTTCAGCTTTTCGCGCAGTGAGATCGCTCCACCCACCCCAAAGTTCCTTCTCAACTCCAAAAAATGATTACCGTAATCCGCAAGAATTACTACACCAAAACATCGCCCCTTGCCCAGGCCTAGCTGTCCTTCTCTACGAAAGCAGAGAATTGGACTCGAATCCATTGTAGGGGACGAAAAGATGAGTTGTACAGTGCATGACTCGCCCATGTCACTGTATAGACAAAACAGCATTTGAATGCCCCTACTGATTCCTAATGAAAGTTGATGACGTGGCGCATCCCGTAAAGGGATTGATCGCCGCAAAGGCTTCATCCTTTCACTCTTTATCCATCGATATCTGTTTGCAGAGTTCAGCCAATCTGGGTCTAGCTTGACCTGTTATTGGGAAGGTACACAGATCCCAACCAACTTCATTATCACAAGGCTTCACTACTGTAACCATAGCCCAATTCGTACATCCTGAACCAGATTAGTGGCCACAACCGCCACTTTTAGTTACTGCTAACACGGCGTTTTTAGGCCCTCACCGTGTACATAGTTTGGCAAAAGCGAAGCCCTTGAGCTTATTAGTTTTCGATGAGCCTTTCACTAGCAAAGGTCTTTCCTTTCAGCCCTTCTTATTGCTGGAAGGTGATTATTCTCCGTTATGTTTTCAGTTTCCAGTGCAGTCTTATAATTTGGACAACTTTGAGAAATTCCAGATCCTGCTCACCGCTCCCGGTTCGTTAAAAGATGCAGGAAAACGTAACGGATGTAGAAATGGTGTAGTAACTTATGAAGCAGCTGACCACGCGCATGGTTCTGGGCCAGTCCTGGCTTGAACCCCGTCCCTACCGACCAATCCTCCCATTTTTCGAAATCGTTTGATCAAAACCAGATTAAGCTTCAGATTGAAAGTCAGCATTCTCAAGCCGGACTGCATTCTTATGCCACTACTGGAATATTGCATAAAACCGAATACGTGGCGCATCCGAAAAGGGGATACCAACGCCAGTCACTTTATCCTCCAAATCATCCCATCGAAAATGCTATAC